CCCCCCTCCAAAGACTGTTGGGGTAATATTTTTTTTGCATCAATAGAGAAGCAGAAAGCACAGATTCACTGAATAAATAAATCAGGGGGATCCTTGTCCTCAAGTGCAGCTCCCTCTCCAGCAAGGGCAACAGTCCGCAGTACAGTAGTGACATCACCAAATCTCAAAAAACTAGCAGCTGAGAGTGCCTAGGCACAGGAAGTGCACTGCTATTTAGAAGACATTTAATACTAAAAATATTTACAGGGTAAATTAACAGTTCTACATGATCCCTAAAGGATATCAAACCTTCACTTTTATATTTCTTTGGGTCAGGTAGATTTGAAATGCTGCACATGAATATTCTGTGTTCTCATAGCTAGCAGATGGAGCTCTCTTTCATGTTTTCTAGTTTCTCCTTTTCACTCGTTGTTTACAAAGCTCAATAATGCAAGCTGAAATTTATATACACAGGTGAGTGAAAGCAGTGACTCTTACCCCTCGTCAATAGAGGTTTCAGTCACAATAGAGGTTTCATGGTCAAGTTTGTAGACACCTGGCAATCACACCTATATGAGCTTGTTGGACATCCCATTCAAAAACCATGGGCTTTAATATGGATTTCTTCTCCCTTACGGCTAGAACCTATTGGAGTGTGTCTGTGGAAATGTGTGCCCATTCAGCCAAAATAACATTTGTAAGACCAGGTACTAATGTTCCATTTCATTCCAAAGGTGTTCAGTAGGGTTGGGGCAAGGCACACTGCAGGCCACTTCGGTTCATCCATGCAAAACTGGCCAAACTATGTCTTGCTAGAAGGTTGTCACAAGGTTGGAAGCACACAGTTGTCTAAAATGTCTGTGTATGCTGCAGCATTAACAGTACCCATCAATGAGGTGTGGAATTCCAATCACCTGACACCCGGAACATGCAGTTCTGGGTATTGGGTAGGTTTTTTCTACAATTAGCTCCGCTTTAGGTAAGCAGGGCTAAATGTACAGTGGGGGAGGTGTGATTTCAGATGAACAGATCCCTTGTAATCAGCCTGCTTGTGCGTCTCCCCCCACACATGTGCTGGATCTTCTGTATTGGAAGGCAGGCACATAAAAAGAACCTGTCACCTCCTAATGCTATCACACAGGGGCTTGTTAGCCCTTGTGTGATAGCAATAAATTAAAGTGGAAAAAAAAGTTTAAAAAAACAATAAAATAAAAAATTGTTAAGTGGAAAAAAATTATAAAATAAATAAAAAAGTTAAATGCACGCATAGGGCATTGTGTGTGTGTGTGCTGCCCCCATTACACTGTGTGCCATATTGTGGTAACTGGGCAGCAGCGTTCTCAAACATGCACAATGTGCATTAAAGGGTGAGTTCACTTTCCCAAGTAATTTTGGAAAATGAAATTTCCTGCTTAAATCTGGCCCCCTCGCTATAATTACCTTTCAGCAAATGGTCCTTCCCCTCTGCCGGTATCCCATACTGTCACTATGGATTTTGAATATCGATTAAAATTCTTTTGATCAAAAATGAAAACTCACCTCTCCACCGGCTTCCGTGTCTTACGGGAGTCCCGTCGGAGATCCGGTGACGTCACAGACATCGACGTCACCGGACTCCTCCCCCCTTCCACAAGTGGCTCAGTCAGCTAACGAAGGGAAGGGAGGAGGAGTCCGGTGACGTTGATGTCCGTGACGTCACCAGACTCCTCCCCCCTTCCCTGCGTTAGCCGACGGAGCCACTTGGGCCGGTGAGTTTACCCAAGAAACTTGTTCTGCACGAGCGCCAGCCAAGGCATTGGCCTATACATATACAGCACAGCAATGAAGTAATAAAATGAACTAGGATCACACTAATCCAGCACGTTATTATTCTGAGTTGCCCCACTCAAGCTGCGGCCATATTGAGTGGGGCACATGAGATTAATAACGTGCTGGATTAGTGTGATCCTAGTTCATTTTATTACTTCATTGCTGTGCTGTATGTGTATAGGCCAATGTAGTTGGATCTGTATGTGCGTTATAATTAATCGAAAATAATCGATTAAAAAAATTTTAGATTAATCGAACACGAAAATTTTAAGTACCAGTACCAGCCCTAATATATATATTTACTGGAATTTGCTGACCTATAGATATCATGCAAACCCAGCCATGGAAACAATCTAAATGAAGATTTATCTACACACATGATGCAAGTTGATATTGATCAATGGAGTTCAAAATATATTGATAGTATTGATATCACACCTCTACAAAACAACAGAAAATTAGTTAAATTAAACAACTGTCGAATCAACTATCACCTTTTTTTGTGCATTTAACCTCATCACAGGCTTTTCTCATCACCGTCACATTCTCTGATGAAAAGTGATGATTCAGTGAAGTGGAAAAGTACTTTGCATTTTTTTTTGTCTTCCAAAATGTAAAATCAGTATTCACACCCCCTCCCCGAGCAATTACATCATGAAGTGTCGCTTTGTCCAGATATCTCAACCGCCACGGTGCTGGGGGAGCTAAAAGAGAAAGGTGAACGGGTTAATCGGGATTAAATCCTTCTGGGGGGGTCTCACCCCCCTTCTCTGTGTTGTTGATGCTGAAGAATTCACAGAGCATGTAATTAGAGGAATGTGAAGGGCTGGTGCACCTGCAAACATGGAGCCAGTGTCTGGGAACCTGCGCCCGATATCCTCTCTGGCATAACTGCCGCTTATTCAAGCATTGTGGCTGGGTAGCGGGAGTCATCGGCTAAACCAATCGGTGGTGGGTTTTTTAGTGGGTACGCACTATAGGTTACTTTTGCAATGAAGGTCTACATATTTGGCTATACTGACAGTGTGATCATCATTTCTACTAAACAGTTGCTAAGGTAAAATCGGTCAGCCTTACTGTGAGTCTGTTTTGCAGAGCACACTCACACAAGGAAAGGAGGAAGATTATAGCACAGTTTTTGTGCATCACTACTAAGTAGGAAGAAGAGCCTGTTTTTGTAATCTGAAAATGTGGCTGTACCAATTTACACACGCATACACCATATGGCCACACGTATGTGGACACCTGAGAATTGCACCTATATGAGCTTGTCAGACATTCCATTTCAAAACCATAGGTGATAATATAGAGTTGGCCCCTTTTGTGGCTATACACTCTATTAGGAAAATTGTCACACGTTTTTGGAGGGCATCTGTGGAAATTTGTGCCCATTAGGTGAAAAGGATTCAAGTTTATCCCTAGAATGTTCAGTAGGGTTAAGGTCAGGGATCTGTGAAGGCCACTGGAGCTCCTGCAGACCAAACCGGTCACACTATGTGTTTATGGAGTTGCCTTTGTACACAAGGGCACAGTGATGCTGGAACAGAAAAGAGTCTTCCAGAAAATGTTAGCACAAGGTTGAAAAAGCACAATTGTCTAAAATGTCTTTGTATGCTGTAGTATTACCAGTGCCCTTCATTGGGGAACATCCAAACTCAATCATTTGGTGGGGGAACCATGTACTTTTGACCATATAGTAGGTGTTGGTGCTTTAATGAGTGACATTTAGGATTTTATGGTGGTGGTGGTGGGCAGTCCAGTTTCAT